CCCCCCCCCGGAGATACACGCACCCTCGGCCTCGGCGATCGCCGGATCATACATCGCCTGGTCGACCACCGACTTGGCCAGAACCACCGGGAACTCGTTGTTCGGGGGGATTTCGATTGGCACGTCGTTGCGCGGGAAGAAGCAATCCGTCCCGGGGAACTCCTTGATGATCTGCCAGCTGAGGAAGGCCCTGTGCGGAGGAGCCCCATCACAGGCACAGACGCGCGCGCGCAGACACGCATGTACACACACACACACGCGCACACACACATACACACACACACACGCACGCACATTGACAGGGCCGCCGTATCAGGGAAAAGGAACGAGTCCGGTGCCGGGAGAAAGAGCACGCAGGAGCAAAGCAAGGAGATCCGAGGCAGGGGAGATGGTCAGACACGGGAGGACGGGCGGGCGGGGCAGACATCGGCCGGGGGGGGAGGGAAGCCGATGCTGAGCGAGTTCCCCCGGGGCGGTGCGTACATTTTCTTCTTTTCGCCATGCACCAGCATCACCTTGCGCGGCTTGGCCATGTGGATGAGCTGCATGATGCCCTTGGCATCGGCGTGCGCCGAGAAGGACATGTTGCGCACGCTCAGGTTCACCGGGATGTATTTCTTGTCGATCTCAATCTGCCAGCCGGACACAGCGGCGTCAGAACACACGGTCAGCGGCGGGCGCGGGAGCGGGAGCAGCAGGATCGCCCGATGGGCGGCCAGCCCGGGTACGCACCTCCTTCTGGCCGGCCAGGACGCGGGCACCGACCGTGCCGGCCACGCAGTAGCCCGGCATGATGAGCATGTTCCGCGGATCGGGCGCCCACTTCTTGAAGACCTCCAGCGAGGTGCCTGCATGCGGGTCGTCGGGAGCCACGGGCGTGAGAGGCGGGAAGGCGGCCGAGAAAACCGGAGCTCAAAATGCAGGGGGGGGGGGCGGGGAGGAGGAAAGTGGCCAAGGGAGCCTGAGGCACCGGCATGCAGCATGCCCGGCGTGGCGAAGAGAACCATCGGCCCCGGGAGGTCGGCATAACTCCGGTCGAAGCTGCGAATGTACTTGAAGTCGAAGGCATTTCGCCGGACAAAGGTCTTCTTGATCCGGTCGTTGGTCCAGTTGATGAAGAGTTTGTAGTAGTGGTTGGCCTTGTCGGTCATGCCGGCGCTAAAGTAGACCGGCACGCTGAGGTTGTTCCGGTCCCAGAACTGCTCGATCAGGATGCACAGCTCCTGCGCGCGGCCCAGCGCGAAGCAGGGGATCAGCACCTTGCCCCCGCGCGACACGCACTCGTGCACCTTGGTCAGGAAGTCGCGCTCGCGGGCGCGCTTCGACTCGCGCACGGTCGTCGCGTAGCTGAGGTAGCCGGGGGGGGGGCGGGGGGCGGGGGGGGGGGGCGAGACCGAACGCCACGGGTCAAGGCGTGAATGGGGAGGGAGGGTGAGGGGGAGCCCGAAAGGAGGAGGCACGGGAGGCAAAGAGGGGGAGACACGCGGCAGGGTGCGGATAGGAGCAGAGGGAGGGAAGAAGGAGGGGGAGGGAGGCGGCGCAGGAGGAGAGGAAGGCAGGCCGGAGCATCAGGACGCACGTCGACTCGGTGATCAGCAAGTCCGGTCGGAGGGGCTCGATCCAGGCCGCACCCAGGTGTCGATCTGGGGTCATGTTGTAGTCGCCCGTGTAGACGACCGACTGGTGCCCGACACGGATGTGGAACATGGCCGCGCCGATGACCTTCATTCGCCGGGGGAAGGAAATGGAGTCAGCGATTTTGGAGGACGGCAGAGGAGCGAAGACAACCGAGGCAACATCCCGCCCGCAGGGGAGGGCCTCCGGAAACACATACATGCCCGGCATAGTAGGCGCGGATTTCCAGCTCGTCATCCACCTTGATTGTCTGGTGGATGTTGACCGTGACCACTGTGGCATGGGGAGGGGGGGGGGCGGGGAACGGCGCGGGGGGACAGGCAACGAAGAAAGTCAGCACGGCGCGGGGCAGACCGGCAGGACGGCCGAGGGCCCATGCACCTGGGCAGGCACGCACCCTTCTTCATGCAGTTCCAGATGTCCTCGGTGGTGAAGAAGTCGCTTTCGCCCTTCTTCTCGACGACGATTCGCCGGAAATCCTCCAGCAAAATGGGCGAGATGGCCTTCGTCGGGTGCGTCATGTAGATGGGCCCATTGTAGCCGCACTTCTCCGTGAAGTGTGGCAGTGCACCGCAATGGTCCAGGTGGCTGCGGCAGCGAGAAAAGATGCATGCGGTCAGTGTCGGGCCGGCGTGTGGGTGTGTGCGTGCGTGCGTGCGTGCGTGCGTGCGTGCGTGCGTGTGCGCATTCACCATCACGGCGGGTCGGGGCGGGCAGGCTGGTCGCAAGGCTGACGCACAAATGGGTGATAATGACAGCGTCGATGACTTTCTCGAAGCTCCCGGGCGAGGGATTGGCGATGAGCGAGAAGTTCGGGAACCGCCGGTGGTCCTCGTAGCCCATGTGCATGCCGCAGTCGAACATCACTTGCTTGTTGCCGATCTTGACAAGCACACAACTCCGGCCGACGTCCTGGCCAGCACCTAGCGATACATGGCATGTGAGTTATCCGGGGGAGGGGGGGAGGGGGGGGAGGCAGAAGTGGAAGCACTCAGGAGCGTGGAGTGATCAGCAGGGG